AGGTCAGCAAGATAAATGTGTTTACGGCTAAACATGGTTATAAATATGCTGGCTTAACCTCATGCGTCAGATTCTGTATTTTTGTCTTATTGAAAAAGCTTCAAGCTTATGTTGTTGATTTTAGTTGGTGCTTTGAATGCGCATTGATTGTAAAGGCGCTTTGCAACTTGATCTCCGAAGCCTCTTGATCAGTGTCTGGTTTCTCGGTTTGCTGACTTCGAGGAAACCCGTCCCGGAAGATTCCAGATGTTGATGCTCTTCAGTGACCTGATAGTTTCTCCTTTTCATTTCGCTGCATGGTGTTTTGAGAAGCCTCAAAGTCGCTCGCGTCACTCTGACGCAGCGCATACCCGAGGCTGCCTGAATCTCTGCAGAACGTAACACATGATATATCTAGTTAAAATTGTTTTTGCAACTAGATATCATATTCAGTCCCAGTTTGACGCTGTAGGTGTATTGGGAAGTGTACAGAAGATCAGGGGTCTACCTAAAAATTCTACTCCACTGTCCAATTTCACATATAACTTTACACCTTCAAGGGCCCTTGTAAAGTGCTGGACCCCCTGAATCTGACATCCCTTCCCCTCCAACACCCCTGCAGATGAACATCATATGGCAAGTACCATATCTACCCGATTTGGGTGTGTAGTGCTCTTTAGGACCCTGAAAGATATATCAGCACAAAGCTGAGGAAGGCATATAAGAACATAAGAAATTTACAAACGAGAGGAGGCCATTCGGCCCATCAAGCTCGTTTGGGGAGAACTTAGCTAATAGCTCAGAGTTGTTAAAATCTTATCTAGCTCTGATTTAAAGGAACCCATGGTTTTAGCTTCCACTACACTAGCAGGAAGACTATTCCATACTGAATTGTTTCTGAGACTATCAATGCAATGATATTTTTGGGCAACATTTTGGGCAATGTTTTTTTCTCCCTGTGGTGTAAGTTGTGAAATTAAGAGGCTTTTTAGACCTTAGGTTGAGAAAATGAAGGGGACAGAGAGGATGGTGGAGGGGTGAGGCGGGATGTGGCATTATGGGAAAGCAGGATGACTTTCATCACACAGTTGTGAAAAATTCAGAGAAAAATGTAGCATCCCCTCCTTCTACACATACACCTGACCTAACATTTCCATCTTCTCTAATGCAGAGTAGCCCCATTCAGCAAGCATCCCACTGTGACAGCGCGCTAACTGGTGGCCCAAAAGGGAAATTCTGATCCCCGGTGCTAGCGGGCTACCTCATTCTCCCAGGAAATCCCATTTATTTTGGCATTCCCACCACCCTCATCAGGCCCAGTGGGATATCTGATCAACTTCGGTCAGTCATGATAGATTTACTGCAGAAAAGGAGCAGTAGGTTCAAAGTTTGAAGGCCGCGTTTTATGCTACACAATTTAGGCATTTTATGGTGCGTATTACTGTCCACATCCGGTTCAGAGCTCCTGGCAGAACTTCTACAGTCATAAAGAGGCATTTAGTTCCTCAGGCCTCTCAATAAAATGCCTGCAGAGGGTTTCATCTTATCTAACTCGTAGTAACTATTATTGTTGTTTTTAATGGTGATTACCACGGTGATTACTGATCTGACACCTCCAGTTGCAGCTCCACTGGTAGTTGCCCTCATTCTGAGTTTTCCACAGTCCTGCCGCGGACCCACAAGGTCATGGTCCACACCTGCAATAATCCGAGCACAAGGACAGAGAAGTCACTTCATTTTGATGGCCAAGGACGGCGATGATAAGAACTGCTCCCTCGTGAATATCCTCCTGAGACCCAAGGAAAAAAAGTGTCCTTCAGTTTGAGGTTAATTGTGATATTCTATGTCTTTGGAGGAAATAAGAAATTTATTTTTAATTACACAGTATGTCCTCTTTAGTGCACAACAGGCATAAATGTGTTTCCTTACATCAGTAAAAAGATAGATGCAAAACCAAAATGTCCACTACAATGGACATAAATGAATGGGTGGGGTCTCAGGAGGATGTACTTCCTTGGATAATAGTCATGTGACTTTGAAATGATTTGTCAAAGAAGAGTAGTGAGATCCTGAACGCCGAGCTCGGCGCTGACACTCGATGGTTCCAGTGGGAGAGCTTCAGCTGCACCATCTCCCTGGTGCCCCTCCCTGCAGAAAGTTTGTGGTGTCGGCTGTACAGTCTGACCTTCCCAGCTTATGACAGGGTGGGCCAGGCTGGAGGCCCAAACCTGGAAGGACAGGTAGGGCAAGTCTGGGGAGGTGCTAAGTATGAGTGGATAGGAGGGGAGGTGTCGAGCAGGAGGGCGGGGGCTGGGACTAGGAGTGACTCTGGGTGAGTATTAAAATGGATTAAGATTGATCCTTACAAGTGCTTTGTATCTTTTACAGTGAATGAAGTCGATGCTTCATCCATGCAGACACTTGACCAGATTAAAAATAAAAAGATTTTGATTATTATCATGTTACGTTGGCAGGTTCATAATAACTGGCATCCCAGCCAAAGTGTCGCCGCCTTTGCAGCCTGTGCTGCCTGGGATTAGTTCTAGCCGCCCCAACCATGACAAATTTATGTATGATATCAGACACATGGGAGGCTTGGACCTTGAATCTATTAGCTTACATGTACATATATATCCTTAAGCACAATGCTACATGTGTCCGCTGTGCCTCAGGAGAGATTATTTAGACTTGGCTACTCCAGCCAATTACATTTGCATTACATGTATTTATTTTGCATGAGTGTTTCTCCAAATGAGGCAGGTAACGCAAAAACGCCTACAGCTGTCAATGAGCCACCAAGTGTTGCAAATCTGAGCTTCCAATGAGAAGCCAGAACTCAGCACATGACACCTGTGGGAAGAAACCTCCCCTTTGTAATCAGAACGCTGCAAACTTGTTGGCAGACTCTAATAAACAAAATAAATCCATCACTATATATAGTATATACAGTAGTTTAAGGCTTTATAACATTGAGAGAGGGGCAGTGTGGTTGTGGTCAGAAGGTTGTGGGTTCAAATCCTGCAGGTGACAGAGATTTCACTGTTAGGCCAGGTGTCTCACACTAAGGGAATGTGAGCCATTTAAGGCATACAAAGGGCTCTGACTGAATCTGTTCTTGAAAGAGACAGGAATGGTTGTTGGGCAAGTAACCACTGTGAAAAATGAATTAATTATTACAAGGGTTAAATCCTGCGGTAAAAGGCAGGTAAGTCATGCTATTTGCTCAAACATATTTGTTACCTGGCAATGAGTAATAAGGGAAACGGACCGCAGGTGTGTGTCTAATCAAACAAAGCCCGCTCTGCCTGTTTCAGAATAAGGATTCACCTTCGGGAATTAGGTGGGGTGGCATGGAAATTAATTTTAAAAACTCAACTTCAAACTGTCACTTTCTTCTGGAATCAAAGCGTTGTAATCAGAGCATCTCTCTTCACTGCACGACGTCAAGGGAGCGAGAAGAATAGCGAATGCATTGCACAATTATTATAAGAATGAGCCTAGAGCGAAGTTATGCCGGAAGGGACGCCGTAAAGCTCTCAATCAACGTCTCTGGCTAACAAACAGAAGCATGAAGAAATGTCATGCTAATCTCTGAATTGTATGTATCTGGCATGCTGGGTGGGTTGGGTGTTACGCCCCCAGAGATTTTTTTTTTCCGTTTAACCATAATGGGATTTCTTGTTTCCTCTGCAGTGTTCTGGCCGTTTTCCCAGTCAGATTCATATTGTATCATCAAGCACTGTAACAATGTACGATGCTTTTAAATATTTAAGTGTTTTGGAGCAGCTATGTGGGAAAAGGAGCTATACTACAACAACAACAACAACAACAACAACAACAACAAAATAATAATAATAATTGAAATGCAAGTACGCCTTGAGATTATGCAAATAACCCCCATGCTTGGCGCAATCATCATTCAGAACTTTTTCATCAGTCTGTCTTGCCTCATCCTGTATTTCACATTCCAACTTCCAGTTGTCAGCACTACGCGAACGCTGCCGCTCCCAAAACTGATCTATTTCTCATCTACTTGAAGAGAAAATATACCTCCGTCCATCAATCTTTATTATTATAATTTAAATATTACTCCTTTGATTTCTTCAAGAAGAGCTTATCGCGGAAATAGCTGTAGGCTATAGCCTACACCTGTCAGCGTCTGTGATTTATTAATCACATTAATCCTTAATCCTTAATGTGATTTTTTTCTGAAACCAAATATCAATAGGTCTAATGTTCTTATCGCGCTGTCAGCATCAATTTCTCTACCTGTGCCTCCCAATAAACAGAACTACTCTGGTCAACCATATTCGTTCCCATTACCCCTATTCATTCTTTAACTCATTTCCTGTAACCGCTTATCCTGTCCAGGGTGGTGGGGGGTCCTGAGCCTTCACCGGAGGCTACGGGCGCGAGGCAAGGAACAACCCAGGACAGGATGCCAACCCATCGCAGGCCAAACTCACACATCATTCACACCTACGGGCAATTTGGTGACTCTAATTAACCTCATAAAGCTTTTGACTGTGGTGGGAAACCGGAGTACCCGGAGGAAGCCCCACGATGACACGGGGGGAACTTGCGAATTCCACACCCATGGAGCCACGGGGGAGGTTCGAACTCTGGATATATATTCTTTATATTTATTTTTATACATGAGCGCAAAGGGGTCATTATTCAGCATTTTCCAAAAGGATTCGAGATCTATAAAACTGCTTATGTTCCTGTGCTACAAAGACTGCAGCATAATACGGACGGATACGTTGGCTCTTTGCCAAGATTGTCCCAACCTTTAATTGTAAAGATTATTATATGCCTTACGATTAAAATAAAAATCTAAAAACAAGCTGAAGTTGACGTTGTCCCACGCCCATTTCAGCCACCCCCAACGCTGATCCACAGAAACAAAAGATTAACGGTACCTTTAACATTCATATGTTAGGATTTCGTGCAAAGCCACACCCCCTGGTTATGATGTAGCGCATTTTCACATATCGTACCACTCTCGAGACCCCGCCCAGGCGACGGCAGCATTGAAATTCACTGGAAATCAGTAACTCACGTTGCTGGCTGCTCAGCGAAATACTGTGTGATAATATTTTTCTAATAAACCGAAGGAGTCAAGAACCGGCTACAAAATATGGGATGGAAATTGTGGTGTTCGGTACTCTTGATTTGTTTCCTCGTGCAAGCACGTAAGTTATCAGTTAAACTATGTTGGGTGCTACAGTTAAGTGATAATATACCAGCATGTGCATGAATGCCTTTTATTTCTTGAATGATCAGTTTCTGCTGACATGTGTGTTTGCAAGTCATATAAGCAAATGGTAAATACTGTATAAATTAATTCAAAGATAATGTTTTCCAGTACTTGTCAAAAACTTTTAATAATGTAATTTTTAACAAAGTAAGTTTAAATCGTCAAAACAATATAAACGAGTGATTTGGTTATCCTTTTGTATTTTACTCTATCCGCTTGCAACTCGAGGAAATATAGTGGATTTAACCGGTCTATTTATGAATGGGAATTTTACGCGATTCTGATTGGCTCTGAATTAAGAACGTGAGTAACACGCGGCAGAGTGGGAAAAAGGGATCGCTGATTGTGAGAGTGTCGTTTTATAGAATAAATTGTATTAGACTAGCCGACAGTGTAGCTCGGGCACCATCGTAATACCGTCCCAGGTACAGTTTAACGCTGAAATGATTTTATTTAAATCGAGGCGTGGTCTGGGGCGTGTCTGGGGAGCGCGTCGACAGATACGAAAAATGCATCGAAAAATGGAGCAAGCGTTTCCTGCACAAATAAACGCAGTGGTTTTGTTGCCATTTTACGTTTTTTTTCTTTGCTTTTTTGCTAAAATGCTAACATAAATGTAATGGTCTACGTGTTTCCTCAGTGCTGGTATGGACATATTTATTGCAATGACTTGTCATATTTTGGGATTTTATTGCAACCAACTTGAATGCTCCACTTCTCCCTGAAAATCCAAGTATCTATACTGTACTGTAACCTGCTGTTGCGAATGCGTACCACGCAGGTTTCTGGTAAAATATCACGTCATTAAACAAGTTGGACGCTGATTCACTGAATCGATTATCGAATTATTATTCGGTTTGAATCTATGGAGAAATTAATATTATACATGGACATTATCAGCGCTCTGTTAGCTCAGAAGTTAACTCTGGCTGCTATAGATCATAATGCAGTGAATTGTATTAAGCTGCATGGCGTGCTGGGTGGGTTGGGTGTTACATTGGTTAAAGCTATTATCATGGGCATTTATCAAGCCAATATACATATGGTTTGACCTACTTGTTTATTTTATGTTTATTCCAAGATCAGCCCAACATTTTGGACCGATAAATGTAAACTGATAACAAGCGTTCGTTCTGTTGCAAAATGGCACACGTATGACAGGACAAGTCAGCTTCCATTCAAGCATTTATGTGAAAAGCAGGCACCTGTTCGTGCCCTCTCTGGCTTACACATTAACCTCAGGTCGTTAAACCATCATCCTCCCCCCCCCCAATGGTGGTATGTGTGTACACAGGTTCTTCTGTGACGCAGGTGGCTAGAAATGTGTAATCGTCACACTTTTGCGGGCACCCAGGCTGCCGTGTAGCGGAGAACCGTTCAGTTTGACTCCAAAGCTATGTCCTGTTATGATCTGGAGACAGAGATGTGCCGTTGTGTTCTTAGTTCAGCCCTTCCGCTCCCAATTTCTTACGTGTGTAATTGCAAAGTTTGCATTACTGCACACATATCCTATCGCATAATTACCCTCTGAAATCTAAGGCTCCTTCTCCAGGAAATAGCTTGATAGTGTCCCTCAGTTTGGATGCAGATCCGTTGACGGGCTTGATTAATTTTGACTTTGATGTGAAATTTTGAACCAGACTCTTAATAAACTTTGAAGTCTTTGAAGTGTTCTTGGGGGCGTATTCTAAGGGAACCTTCCCAAAGTTAGATGCAGAGCAGCTCTGCTGTGTAAAGATGTTTCAGTTAAATTGGGTCTCTAAAACCGCGTGTGAGAAAATACAGGCGTTTAGCCACGTATCGAAATCATGGGTTTCAACTCCTTCCTCCCTGAAATGTTTTTGTTATCAACCAGGCATGCAGCCAGGTAATAAGATCACAAGTTTATACCCACCGTGAAATTTTGTTCAGCCACCCCAGTCGAAGGGAGAACCCTGGGTTGGCAAAAATGATGGTTGCCAGACCCCCCCACAAAATTTATTTCTGGCTACAGGCCTGGGAGGATCATAGAGATGTACAAACAAACACAGCATGATACTTCACAGCACCACCAGAACTGGAGGGGGGGGGGTGTTGCCCAATTATTTCAACAAATCTGGATCTCCAGTGAATTTGATCTCAAAGGGCGCTGCCCATCCGGTGCCAGTCGCCAGCCACCACCTGATAGACAAACAGAGTGGCATTATTAAGACGGAACACACAGCATGTGGCCAATCAATATGTAGATACTATAAAATCAGCGAATGTGTGAGGACGCCTTATTACTCACCAGGGCTATAAAAGCCCAGCTCTCACAATGTAAACAGCCGGCTCTGTATTACTCTGCCTGTCCCTGCAGTGACACTATTACATAATATGACCATACAAAGATCATCACTTTCTGCTGTGGGAGTCATCGTTCCTGCTTTTACTCTCATCACTCTGTGTATAATGTGTCAGCCGACTCTCAGTCTCGATAGTCAATCACTGTTCATGCATTCTGTTCAGATATGATACATATCCTTCCCCCTCTTTACATGGCTGGACGTGTACACTGTTTATGTCTACAACACAACTTCGGAGTCTCAGTTTTGAAGTTCTAGAGTTTTGACTCTAGCGTTGATCTAGTGAAACTAATAGAGGAGGAAAGACCACGAACGGAGGTCCCTCGTCACTGGTTTCATGGCTTCAGAAATTCCGCACATGCTGATGAGGGCTCGGGGTGGGTCCAGTGTCTCGCTTTCTAGGAATTCAGGGATTTGCTATTCTAGGAATCCGCTGCTGGAGATGTATGGATGCTGGAAACAGATGAATGTTGGCTCCGGTCCAGGTGGGAAGAGCGGGATTTGGAGGCGTTCGGCTCCCTGACTGCTTCAGGCTGTGGTGGGTGGCTGGTTTCATGATAAGCAGCAGACTCACCATGTTCTACTAAAGACAGTTGCTGAGAGTCAGGACTTGGGGAAGGGTGGAGTCAGACAGAATAGGTGCTGGTTCATTATGCTCTTTGGTTACAAGGCCGGCTTTGGTAGCGTTTAACGTTTGTGCAGAAGTCGTGTAGCTCGATGTTGTAAGGTTAGCTGCAGGGATAATGACGGTAGCTGTCTGCCTGTAACATGGTAGTGGATGGAAAAAGAATTTGATCAGAATTTACCTGCAGGATCTCACACGTTTCATATTACAGCAGTTTTGATGCTAATGTAATTTATATCATTGTATTCTGTTCTTTAGTCTTGTCTTCTCAGATTATCCCAAATATTAATCTAAAAACAAAAGATTGTATATCTAAGGAATATTAACTAACATTTAGTAAATCCATCCATCCATCCATTCATCCACCCATTATCTGAATCCACTTGACCTCTTCGGGGTCATGGGGGACCGGAGCCTATCTTGGAGGCTAAGGGCACAAAGCAGGGAACAACCCTGGACGGGGCGCTAACCCATGGCAGCATTTACTAAATCAATAGTTCAAAATAATCATCTTCTCCCATTACTGTAAATATATCACAGTCAAACTTAACAAATAGTCCTGGAGAGCTTTTGCCACGTCTCCTCTTCCAACCATCTCGAACATAAACAATTACTCCTGTATTTCCTGGAGACGCAGCCGCCCCTCCTTGTAGCATCCACGGTTTCAGGAATTTCTTCTGGCCCAGTCGGCATCCAGTGGTGTGACCGAGTCTCCGCCTACTCCAAGTGCCTTAAAGGCACACGCTGTTTTTGCCCCTAAGGATTAACCCATTCATGGGCAGTGCTCAGATGTATCCGCAAACTGCATTTGCGGATCGTCGCAGGACGTTCCTGGGTGACCATTTTAGGGTGTGGGCTGGATTATGCGGAAAGCCTGAGTCTCAGTGATCAACAAACCAGATAATCGCTGCAGCTTGGTGGTGTATCTGTGCCTGCTGGTAACTGGGTATTTGGGGTATTTGAGTACATGACTTCTATGATGTGTTTCTTCTTGCCCCCACCCCCCTATGTCACCTACACAACAGCTGAAACACTCCTCACATTACTGTCATAGTACGAGTAAGCAAGTGTCTGAACCAGGCTTATCGCCTAATTATACGCTTTGGCTCTTTATTGGTCTGAATATCCATGTCTGCTCTCACCTAATGGCTGCAAACTCCCTCATTGTTGACTAACTAGATATATAATACTGTGATGTTTCCACGGACTCACTGTTAAAACCTCCTCTATATTTGCTGAGACAGGTCTTTTAAATTGTATGTGTTAAAGAATCTTAGATTTTAATTTGTTATTGTTGAAATACACAATACAGGGAAATAATGAAATAACCCCCTTTCATGATTTAAGCTCTTTCCTGTGTCTTAGCATAAAACAGTTGTATGGTTATCATCTTACTGTTAAACAGAAATGTAGTTGTTGGGATAGTTTGGCTTGAATGCATGCAGTAATCGCCCGTGTGCCTCACGCAGTACATGCGGCGGCGGAGTGCAGGGGCCGGCAGTTCCAGTGCCGCAGCGGGGACTGCATCCCGATAAACTGGCTGTGCGACGGCGCGGAGGAGTGCGAGGACGGCAGCGACGAGGACAGCGCCACCTGCTGTGAGTAGCAGATATTTAGCTGAAAAAAATCCTGCAGTGCCAATCGGAAGAAGAAAGGGATAGTTTCTGTGTGTCAGGGGGCCGGTTTGGGTGGACTTATTACGCTGGGGGTGTTAATGGGAGTCTCCTGCCCCCCATTTCTGCTGTCAGTGGCCAAGACATGTGGACCTGATGAATTCAGCTGTGGGGGCCGATTGAACCAGTGCGTCCCCGCCAAGTGGCGCTGTGACGACAAGGTGGACTGTGAGAATGGGGCCGACGAGGAGGACTGCGGTACGCATCCCGTGTTTGGCCCCCCCCCCCCCGCCTTTTTCATATCCATTTCCTTTATTACTAAGCAGCCAACTCACAAAAAATGTTTCCCCTGTGGTATCTAGGCCCAAAAACCTGCCGGGAGGACGAGTTCCTGTGCACCAACGGGGAGTGCGTCGCCGAGGGCTTCGTGTGCGACGGAGAAGCCGACTGCGAGGACGGCAGCGACGAGGCCGCCTGCGCCCCCCTCACCTGCAATTCCGGAAGCTTCCAGTGCGACGACAGCAGGTGTCTGCCCTACATCTGGACCTGCGACGGAGATCACGACTGCAGCGATGGGTCCGACGAGGCTGTCTCGCTGTGCGGCCGCCGGCCCACGCCCGCTGGACCCTGCTCCGTCCTCGAGTTCCAGTGCGCCAATGGACACTGCATCCACGCCAACTGGCAGTGCGACGGGGGGCACGACTGCGCAGACGGTTCCGACGAGCTCAATTGCAGTGAGTGACAGACCCCAGTCCTGCCGCATTAGGCCAATGAGTTCCACAGATTTAGGTGGCTTAAGATTTAGGAGCTCCTTTAAGTGGAACCAGCTGTGTAATTTTAAAAGTTTACTATCCTATTAGTACTAGTAAGGACTTCTAAGTATAATAACACTATTTTGTGTTGATAACTGGTGCAGTGTCAGTATCCGTGTGTTTCTCTCTGCTGTACTAATTTTTAAATTACTGGACCGGTTCATTGTCCATGTCATGTTCTTAACTAAAGTGGTGAAAGATATCAGGTTAGAAATGTAAGCAGGAGTCCGGAGGTGCTCTCTGCTTTTGTTGGGGCTTTGGGCAGCCATAGGAGGGTTGAGTTTTGGCTGTTCCTTATCGCACCCTCTCCCCCCACCCTCCCGAAGCCAAGCCCACCTGCCGCCCGGACGAGTTCCAGTGCGGCGACGGCACCTGCATCCATGGCAGCCTGCAGTGTAACCATGAGCACAACTGCAAGGACCTCAGTGATGAGCTGGGCTGTGTTCAAGGTCAGCCCCCCCCCCACACCCTGCTCCAGCCCCGACCCCTTTTGAGCCCCACCCACCCTAATCCCCACCCATGCTGGCCAACGGCTCACTCCCTCTGTCCTGTCCGCAGATACCCACTGTGAGGGCTCCGGAAGGTTCCGGTGTCGTAGCGGGGAATGCGTCAGTGTGCAGAAGGTGTGCAACAAGGTCCGAGATTGCAGGGACTGGTCTGACGAGCCCATTAAGGAGTGCGGTGAGTGTGTTCAATGCCGCCACGCGACAGGAAGTCAATGTTAATGTGTAGGGCCCTTTAAATCTACCCCATAGAAACACCAGAATGTGAACACAAGCTGTACTGTCTGCCTCCCAGGCCTGAATGAGTGCCAGGACAATAACGGAGGATGCTCCCACATCTGCCATGACCTGGTGATCGGGTTTGAGTGCCTGTGCCCTGCCGGCTTCTACCTGCTGGACGGGAAGCAGTGTGAAGGTGAGGGTCCGGCACCCGCACACACTGACGCCCAGTCTGTCCATTAGAAAGACAACTTGCCAGCCATGTTTGAATTTAATCCACTGTATCTCATTGGCTGGAGGTGATGAAACAGTTGCTCATTTAGACCAATCAAGTGCCAGGGAGAACTCGGCTGCCCCTCCCATCAGCTTCATATGGCGGCTTTGTCACATCATGGAGGTTGTGAGTCACGTGTCGGCCTGTCGTTACAGATGTGGACGAGTGCGCCGACCCCGAAACCTGCGACCAGATCTGCGTCAACCTGCAGGGAAGCTTCAAGTGTGAGTGTGAAGAAGGATACTGGCTGGACCCGGTCAGCAAGGCCTGCAAGGCGGCTTCTGGTGAGGGTTCCGACTTTCAGGATGGGCCTCGAGGTTCTGCTGTCCACCTGCGCTTGGTTCTCGTTACCCTTTTTCTCTGGCTTGGCAGGCACCGTGCCGTACCTGTTCTTCACCAACCGCCACGAGGTGAGGAAGATGACACTGGACCGCAGGGAGTACACGCGCTTCATTCCACAGCTCAAGAACGTGGTGGCCCTGGACGCCGAGTTCCCAGCCAGCAGGATCTACTGGTCCGACCTCTTCCAGAAGAAGATTTACAGGTCAGTAACCCCACCTGGCCTGGCCTCCTCTAGCCCCTAAGGCTTCATCGCTTTCCGCTTCCGGAGCACCTCGCTAAGCTGATGCATCCCCTTCGCATATCTTCCTCACAAGCTCTTCGTCTTTCTCAGAACAGACATGGAGTCGGCCGCTAACCCCTCCAGCCACCACGCCGTGATCGACACCGGCATCGGGGCGCCGGAGGGACTGGCCATCGACTGGGTCCACGGCAACATCTACTGGACGGACAGTGTGTACGGCACCATCTCCGTGGCAACGTCTGATGGGGCCCGACGCAAGACGCTCATTATGCACGGCCTGGTCAAGCCCCGAGCCATTGTGGTCGACCCAGAACGCAAGTACGTCTCACTGGCCGATACTCTGGGATCAAGGCTCTGCCTTCCTGACTGTGTCATTACCGACTTTGAAATTACTAACATCAATACTGAAGAATTATATTTATAGTCTTTATAGATTAAAATATAATTGGTACATCATCAATGTATAAATTAACTACATATAACTCAGACAGACACTTTTTTAAAAAGTATTTTTTGTACTGAAATGTGAATTAGGATTGTAATTCGCACCAAGCCTTTTATCAGAGGATTCTGGGCCATGTGAGTACTTACTGAGTACTTACTGAGTACTTACTGAGTACTTACTGAGTACTCTCTTACAGCTACATGTACTGGACAGACTGGGGAACCCCAGCCAAGATCGAGAAGGGGGGGCTGAACGGAGCCGGCCGTACCGCCCTGGTGACGGACAGCATCGAATGGCCCAATGGCATCACACTGGGTAAGAGTCAGGCAAAGACTCCTCTGTGTCCCGCTTCTCAGAAGGGCTGAAGTGGATCAATAGTTGAAATCTGACGTGTGTCTGTGTGACTGCATGGGCGTGCTCCGTCCTAACCCCGCCCCCTCCATGCATCACCCCTGTCAGACTTGCTGAACCAGCGCCTCTACTGGGTGGATTCGAAGATGCACACCCTCTCCAGCGTTGATATCAACGGGGGCACTCGGCACACACTTATCATCGACGAGCACAAGCTGCTGCACCCCATCTCCCTTGCCGTCTTCGAGGTGAATGTGATTTCTGGAACTTTCTGTCTTCTGCTCATTTGGGAGTCCTGGCGCTTAATGTAGGGCCTCTCTGTGGTGTATAAATGGTTATTAGCTGACCTATTTTTTAATTTTAATTCAGGAGAAAGTGTTCTGGACTGACGTCGGCAGCAACTCCATTTTCAGCGCTAACCGCTTGACGGGACATGACATCACAGCGGTCGCTCAGAATCTGGTCTCCCCCGAGGATATTGTGCTGTATCACGACCTGAAGCAGCCAGCAGGTACGGGGAAAACAATTATTTTTAAATATCTCCTGATCTACGCCAAATTATACCGTCATATTGACGTAGATAAGATTGAATCTGTTGGGCATAAATGCATTTTGAAAGGCTGAGACATTGACCCTCCTTTGTGCCTTGCAGGCAGGAACTGGTGCAATGACAGCAAGCTGCCTAATGGTGGCTGTGAGTTTCTGTGCCTCCCGGCACCACAGATCAATAGCCGTTCCCCAAAATACACCTGTGTCTGCCCGGACGGTGCAGTTCTGGGTCCGGACATGAAGAAGTGCCTGCCAGGTAAACCCCCTGCCACGGGCTGCCTGCCCCGGAGGCATCGCTGGCACGCTCTGTGTACCCGTCGTCCATTAATGCCTGATAGTCTGGCCTTTATACATCTCTGTTTACTTTTATTTTTCAGCAGCTCCGAAGACTCCAGTGCCTCCCGCCAAGTCCACCAGCACTGCTCGAGGACCGCTGAGGACCTCCACGGCGACCACCACAGGCTCCTCCCCCCACACTGCTGGGCCAGACAGGAACAAGAACCTCCAGTCAACCTCCGGGCTGGAGTTTACTCCACAGGGAGGTACGGCATGCAGATATTTTGTACTACATCGCTCCTACCAAGTGCAAGTAACGTAAAGCGACACTAAGTAAATGCCCAGGAGGTAGCAGGTGTTCTGGATTTAACATTCATATAAATCTGTTTCCTTTCCAGGTGACCATAATGAATTAGCCGCCATGCCGAAAGAGTCGGACTCATCATCTCAGACCGCTATTTACATCGTACTGCCCATAGGTCAGTAGCTGCCAGAAAACGACCCAAGAACCAGCCACTGTGACACACCGACGCAGCCGATTGGTTGTGATGGTGAGCAGCCCTGCAGCTGCAGGTTTCTCACTGGCCTGGATCTCCATGTTTCCTCTCCTCCAGCGATCATCTGTCTGCTGGCTTTTGGCGCCGGTTTTCTGTGGAGGAACTGGAAGCTGAGGAACACCAACAGCATCAGCTTCACCAACCCCGTCTACCAGAAGACCATGGAGGACCAGGTGCACATATGCAGGACAGACAGCGAGGAGGGGTTCATCTACCCATCGGTGAGCTGGCTGGAACTTTTGACCTATTTATATAGCTGGATTATATAGCTGTGACCCTTGAATGTTTTGGGAAGAGTGTTCCAGAAGGGCCAAGTTCCTCTCTTAAACAATACTACCTGAACCGTGTCCCCTGGTGACAAAGCTAATGTTACATTGCTCGTGTTTTCCTCTGTGTGTCTCATAGCAGCAGATGGTGAATCTAGATGAAGATATAATGGCATGATGGTTTCCCAGAGGTCCTTCAATTATTCAGGAGTCACTGCCTCAGATGCTCTTAAAGGTCGACCATCCAGCCTTAAAACACAAGGAAGCCTTTCGGAAATAAACAGCCCCCCCGCCCCCCACGAAATGGATAGGGGCCATAAGCAGAATGGGAGTTCAGGTGACCACGTTGAGCCAACGGGAGAGACCCGGGAAAAGCCGTTGAAATTTCCACCAGGTTTGAAGTTTACAGAAGACTTGTTCATATCGTGCCTAGACCGACTTTTCAGCTGTGATTGCAGGACTGGTGAAGTTGATGAATGATCCAGCTACAACAGACAGACACTGAAAAACGGCAGCGTGACAACGATTCACCTCATGAGTCCGTAAGGGCTGGCTATAGTGCACCAAGTGAACACCACTATGTATGTATGTGTGTGTGTGTGTGTGTGTGTGTGTGTGTATAATGTGTTTCTTTGTCACAATAATTTACCCCAAATCCTTAACTACCGCACTTGTCATATTTTGCACTATTAATGATAGTTTTTACATATTTTGATAAGTCCCTGACACCCTAACCAGGATAACTGGTTATAAGATGGATGGATGCATGGATGGATGGATGTATGTTTCGATTATTTAAAGAATGTACTGTATTTGTTTTTTTGCAACAACAAATATATCCATATATCCATATCTATACAACTGAAGACCTCTGTAAAAGTCATCCAGCTGAGATACAAGCTTAGCTTGCCTGACTTGGCAGCAGGTATATAAACTAACATCGAGCGATGGTCCTGAAGAGCTCTGTCTCCCTGGGGCATGTTGTGCCTTGATCATATTGCCTGTGTAAATATCCCTCTATGCTCTTGGCAGGAGAAGTCCTCAGTAACGCGCGTGCAAACCCAGTCTAGCCGTTCCCTCCTTACTGTTGTATATGTATAACTAGCTTCTTCTCAGGATCAGAAAGCCAGAGTCTTTTTATTTTCTCTCTTATTTATTGCTGATTTCTATCGCTCGCAAAACACCGCAGCCAGCTAACTCTGTGAGACTTTAGCATATTATGCACATGTATGGTTCAAAACCCAGCCATGACAGGCATGTAGCTGGGGTACATATCCTATAACATGCCGGAGCCTAAAATACCTGAGCCTGCCATCCATGCACGTTTTTTGGCCTTGTGCCGTTGTAGCTCTTGAAGACACCATCCATATGGAACTTTTTTTTCTAGGTATCAAATGTAAACTATGTAAAATGCTTGTATATATATGCATTATGTATATTGGACCGGTGTAAATATATTCCTGTTTTTGTACATCCTTTTTGTTAATCATATGTGGTTGTATAGTTTTCAGATTTGTATGATAACAAATTATTTGTCGGGGATGAATCTCATAACTTTTTTTCTGTTTATTTTCACTAAACTATGTCTGGTTTGTATTGTCTCTATTGATTGCTTTATATTTGTACATTTGGAAATATATTAAAAACGAACTCTGTGCTGATGTATAGCATAGTAAATTTCAACTCTCATCAGTTGCGTTGTTAAAGTGCGAGAAAACTATTTATTGGTTGTGGATGTTTTTAGACGATTCTAAGTTCTGTGGTTTTATTTTCCGTTTAGTAATATAAAACTTTTGACCATTTAATTAAATCCTCTTTCATGTGAATTACATGGCGGATTATACACAGTCTGAATATTGTGAAATTACCAAAACATTTGCTGCTTTGGGTTCTTGAGTCTTACGAGGCTTTTAATTAAAAGGCTGTATATCACACATCACATCTATAAGTCATTCAATAGACAGTCAACTGTTATTCTTATTAAGTAGATTTTAAATTCTAGGTAGTGGGCGTAATTTAACAGAAATATTTATTTGGGATCATAAAAAAATATTGCAATTAGAACTGCCATTAACGGTACATTCAGTAAAAATATGTATTTATGCTGCAAATAAACATGCATTTGCTGCACAAATTTCAGGCCCATGTTTGAATAATGAGTCTCATAATTATTTAATGGCACCATCTGTTATTCTGCTCTGATTATTTTCACACTATGTACGTGTCCACACTTCCCTTCCATGGTGGGTCTCATAAAGGCCCGTGATTTTCCGATCATATAACTTTTGGAAGAGGTCGAGTGATACCAATAGCTAAAATTTAACTTGAAATATTTCATTTGTTAACCTGCCAAGTTAACAAATGAAAGGACTGGGCTGGGAAAAGTTTTTCCCAGCCCGGTCCTCAGGGACTTCCAGACAGTCCACGTTTTTGCTCCCTCCCAGCAAAAAAAAAAAACTTCATTCTGATACTGAACACTTGCATGATCTGATTTAAGTGTTTTTTTCTGCATGTTGAATATACAACATGAATATATCATATAATTGGGGACAGTGTGTGGCCCAGCATATAGGACACTGTGCCTGTGATTGGAAGGTCAGTGGTTTAAATCCCAGGCTCAGCATATCAGGACACTGTGCCTGTGATTGGAAGGTCAGTGGTTTAAATCCCTGGACAAGGCTCTTCACACCAAATTGCTGCAGAGACTGTCTGAACATCCCTAATAAATAAAATGTAACAACTGGTAGGGCAATTTGGACAGAGGTGTAAATTTCAGGTCCAGAAAGTAAAATAGACCAAGGATTTTGTTTCAACCAACCAGCTGAGTACAAAGAGTTACAGTCGCAGACTACTCAGCTGGTTAAATCTTGGTCTGGATCTTTACTTCCAGGACCTGAAATCTTTACCTCTGTCCAAATTGGCAAGCTCACCAAACTGAGAATACACAGCATTTATATTTCACATCCTGCTCATCTTGCCTAAAAACAACGTTTTGGTTAGCAAAGCAACGGTCCAACCATTTACAAAATGCCTTGACCCACTGTCCTTCCCTGTCCATCTAACACTCCCTGGAAATAACCATGTCAGACTTAGAAATATGTCAAGTGAAAATGTATGTATGGATGAAACGTAAGTAACTATCATTTATAGCTTCAGGACAAATGAAAGTTCTCCCTGATTGGGAGAAATTAAAATAACTCAAACTAACTACCGCCTAACTAAGGCTCAGGGCATTCTGAATACACTGCCAGAATTTACCCGGAATCTTGATGGCATGTCTCCCTCTCCCACATTAATTGACCCTGATTTCTTTTTTCTTATTCCGTTATTAGAAACATCATCTGAAGAGTCTTTTGTCATCTGCGGAAGATTTCCAAACTAAGCAATACAATATCTCTGTGTGAAGCTGAGAAATTCGTACATGCTTTTATAACTTCAAGACTGGATTACGAAGTGCAGCACTAGCTAGGTGCTCAAACACATCTCTTAATAAACTTTATTTCATCCAAAATGCAGGAGGCAGAGTTCTTATAATAACTAAGAAGTCTGATCATATCTGTCCAGTTCTGTCCACTTTACACTGGCTTTAGGTTGTTAAATATTCCTGCTTACCTAAAAGGTTCTTGATGGCTTCTCTCTCCAACACCTGAGAGACCTTCTAGTCAACTACTGTCCATCACACCCACTTCGACCAGAAGATGCAGGCTTGCTATCAGATTAGAGAAATCTAGAGTAGGTGCTAAAGCCTTTTCATACAGATACTCGACTGTGCAAAAGTGTTCCCAATAAGGGAACTCTGTACAGGACTCAGACATACTCCCAATCTTTAAATCCAACCTAATAACATGCTTATATTGCTAATCCTGTGATTAAGGCAAATACTCTAAGACAGTGTTTCTCAATTTAGTCCTCGGAGACCCGCAGTCCGTCCACCGTCTGGGAGGGAGCAAAAACGTGGAGCATCTGTGGGTCCCCAAGGACCGGATTGGGAAACACTGGTCTAAGGTGTAGCCCTCCACTGCCATGTGATCATTCAAGTCTGATGGTCATGTGATGGAGGAATGCTGAGGTCCGTGAAGCTATCCTGCTCATGGTACCTTCCGGCTCTCCCTTTTAGCCAGGTTTGTCAGAGCTCCCATCTACAGTCCTGTCTGCAGTTTATAGTCACTAATAACAATAGACACATAGCATTCCTAATACCTGTATACATGGGGCCTCCATCAGAAGCTCAGATGTGTCTGAGCCCTGAGTCTAGCTGCCTTTTCACATCGTTGATGCAGCCAACTAACCTGCCCTGGAGCAAAAAACACTAATGGACATCTCCACTGTCCACTTACTGACCAGCCTAATGGATGTTATGCCATGAATTAAAGATCCAATAGATGCATTCACTATGGACTTTATTCATTCTTTATGAATGATGGATGGATGGATTCCCGCCTGAGTCTTGGTTCCTCTCAAGGTTTCTTCCTATCACTACTTACAGTAAAGGAGGTTTCCCTTGCCACTGATACCCTAGGCTTGCTCATTAAGGACTGGGCCGGGTTATCTGTAAAACTGCTTTGAGGCAATTTTTTTGTGAAAAGCACTATATAAATAAATCTAAATTTGAATTTGATTGATAAAAAAAATAAACATTAGGTTCTTCTCAATGGATTTTTACACTAATGACATAAGCATTAGCGTAAAATTACCTAGCAGCCAGAGATATTAAGGAAGTCCTGATAGTTACTATAGCAACAAGATAGGGCAAGACTGTGAAGGACAAGTGTAGGCTACTTTGAGGTGTAACGTCTCCTGTTTCATCTGTTGCTGCGGGTTCAACAGGTTCTGTTCCCAGTTAAACAAGCTCTCTGTACTCAATGTTATCTTCCTCTAAACTCTGGAACACAATGGAAATAAGGCTTGATTCTGGCCCCTCCCAATGAAAAGAGGGAAGGTACTTCCAATCCGTCAATTTAAGAGCTTAAACGAAAGGCCTGAGGCCAGAGTGTTTTTGTCAGTAGATGAGGGACAAACCAAAACAAACAATGAGACAAACAAACAGACAAACAATCATACAAATAAACAAATAAACAGACAAACCTAAAAACAAGCCAGTCCCTCAGTTTGTAGGAATGGAACTACGGCCCCTACAGAGTCTCTAGGTTCAAGGCCATTGTCACCAGTGGCCAGGGGAAAGGGAATATAAGCAAACAGAACAGAGACAAAGGCAGCTCTTTGAATCGCTCTCCAACCACTTACAGTGTGTCTGAGAACATGGAGGTAACAGCCAATCATCTAGCAAGTTCATTACTCAGAGAAGGCCAAAGAGAGATCCCAGGGAACAACTCGATAAGCGAGGCGATAAAAGCCGGCAAAACAAAGATACAGCAAGGTCCCCTCAGCGATAAGGAAAATCAATGGCCATCGTGGCCTAATGTTAGCTTTCACATACATGCGAAATAACGTTAGCATTGTGCTTCGCATCATCTCCGGGCACAAATGTCACACGAGTTCTAGAAACAGCGTGTACTGTTTGTCCTGCTGGCACGATTGCTCTTGTATTTTCTTTTCAGGAACTACATGTTGTAGTGACACGGGCAGAGAACAATATTACAACAGACTGTTCCCTCCAAAAAGGCCCTCCTAATCTTTCATTGCAATAAAATTCTACACAGTTTTCATCAGTTTTGTACTTCTTTAGAATATGCGGTATCATTCCCAGTGCAGTAGGTAAGTTCCTTCTTCTCTCTGGTTGTACAAAAAACATGATTTATAATATATAATTTTCTTAACAAGCTAAAAATAGGTATAGTAAGATATATTTATATTTTCTAAAACAAAATGTTTTATTTCCAGCAACCAATGGCTTCCCACTGATTCTGTAAAACCACTTTGGGTGTCTTAAAAAGTGCTATACAAATATAACATTCATTCATTCATTCATTCATTCAAGAACCATAATGTCATAAATTATGATTTCTTGTTGCAATATAGCCAGTCGAAGAAAGGGCAACGATGACGATGATACTAAAATTTGTGTAAATATTAAATATTTAGACACTGATTGAGGATCATTTCGAGTTGGACTTCCTAATTTGCAAAGTTTTCTTTTTGTTTAAGATCTTATGGCAAAAGTGTACATTAATCTTAAGTTTGAAAAGGGCATTATCCGAAGTGCATACATATATTCCCCTTTGGGATTTCAAATGCCTACACAATGAGCTGGTGGACATAAATAGGGAGGTGAAGTATCATATAGAAAGGACTTTGGTTGCTTTGGGGGTTTGGTTGCTGTGTGACCAACTGTGGTCGCCATAGCAGATTAAATGAAGACTGGTAAAGCTCCAGTCAGCTCCCTGATTTCCCCTGGCCCCCGGGGGTAAGGTGATACGCAGGCTGTGAACTGAAAACAGCGGAAAGTCAATCATCATTATTACGTGGGACGGTGGTGCGGCTGTTCCTTATTAATGGGACACAATGTTAAAGAAATCATAAGGGGAAAAACACTTCATTTCAAAGACATACCCTGCAATGTTATGTCAGTTAGTCACTTTACCCTCAGATCCATTCAGCCACTCGAGGATGAAGGGCAAAACCTACAGCATATATGCTTGCAGATGTTTGCTCGTGAAATGCTTTGTATTGTTGGTGTCTAAGTCAAACAAATGTCCGAACACTGTGGTTTAAAGCCAGTGACAAAGCACCAAAGACTGTCAAAGACCCAATCAGGAGTGTGCAGTCCACTGATCCAGCAAAATGAACAATAAATCTGATTGTCGCCAGTCCTACAAATGCACATAATCCTGATAGCTGGTCTGTTTCCTCTGTCTGGAGGATGATATTTAGAAGAGAAGAAAATGCACAGAGTAATCTCGACTTTATCTGTTTCAGCCCCCCTAAACAAAACAAAACGACTGGTACACTAAGATGACTGGTATAGGGACTGGGACAGGTCTTTCTTTAAGCATCACAACACATCTTCAAATCACATCTCAGCCAATCAGTATGTAGGGAACAGGGAGAACGTGTACCGACCTCCCCAATATTTCAGCCCCCCCCCCCCTCATAAATAGACCTTTATACTTAAATTATTCATTTGTGTCCCCCCACACAAAACTCTCATCTACGCTGTTGCAGCTAGTTTAAAATCTCTATCGATGCTCCAACATCTTGCACCAAATTCACAGAAATTCAGGAGAAATGACTACTGGATTAAAAATGAACTGCCTATTGTATATAGAGAGAATGGAGCAGAAACACTTTCCTGTAATTATAAAGCCTCCCAAATACAGGCTTATATTACTTCTACATCAGAACAGACCCAAAACTTGTTTTCATGAACAGGTGGCATCTTATTATCGACCATGTCCAGCTCAGTGTTTCAAGAGGAAGTTCACAAAGATTATATATTACACTGCTGTACCACAGGTATCATAATTACCCCAATAAATTAGAAGGAACTTTGACAATGGAGCCATAAATGCTTTTCCTGACCATACAGAAGGGCATCTTATTATAAACAAACTCCAGATCATAGGCTATTTGAAAGATAAGCATATATTTTGGCTATATATAGCCTATTTTCCTGCATTTTGCATATTTAAAATTTTCATACATCAACAGATATTTTAGATGTAAAGGTACCCACCTATCCATCTGTTTTGGAAATGGAAATATTAATGCAAAAACAGATGCTCTAATTTTTGATCAGCTGATCTGTTATTGCTCTAGGCTCAGTAAGGCATCAATTCAGCCAGTCAGCTGTATGTATACTGTCACACGTCTCAAAATGTGTGCACAGAATTTACTTGTGGGTTTCTTTATAGTCTAAAAGACGTACATCTGGAAATTAATACAAAACTTGCATGATGACTCGGAGTCACTTAGGCAAGCGTGAACCCGATGTGATGCTCTTTGGCTAGACTTCAGATCACTGCAACCCTGATTATTACTGAAACTTATGCTTCCATAATATTTGTTCATTAATCTTTAGTACTTTTGTTTAAACCTAGTCCCCAATATCACTAAAATGATATTGCAAAGTCATCACATAATCTCAGTGGATCACATGACACTGACTTTTCTAAACAGGAACGGTATAACACGGCACAGTTCACAGGCTCGTATGGTATCAGGTTCTCTTTCTTTGTAGGGTGTACACAAGTGCGGCCTACCATGCTAACGATAAAAGTCAATCAGTTACACTGATCAGCAAGAAAACAGCACCACCAAGTGGACATTATCGATCTAATGCGTGCAGAGGATATTCATAAAAAAAACCCGATACATCCTTAAAAAAAATGAGCATTCATTTTATTAACTGCAAATACATTTTGTGTTATTTTCCAGTATCAATTCCAGTAAAATGGACTGGCTCTAGTTAGCACCACAATTATTTAAGAGGGTCAACTATTATAAATTATAAATCCCGTATCAGCAGTTCGACTGGTGTCAAACAGACCAGCTGATTAAAAATCCCATTTTCAGCCGACAGAAGTTGTTTCATCAGGAGTTTCTGTCAAGGTTCGCTACCTCGGCCTGTTAACAAGCACCTGTGGATAAAATGACTCAGCTAATTTTTCCAACCATCTGAAAATGTATTTATATGCTAAATGCAAAATATTGACCACTGGGCTGTTTTAATTTGAGAGATGAATCGGCTGCTTATTGAACAACGTGTTTTGCGAGCAACACAAGAGAGCTGTATTTCACTCGGGTTAAACCAAATTCGAGGTCGAGGTATAGGCCTACGCGGTGAAAAAAATAAGGTACTTTAATACGAGGGAAAAAAAAAACTTCCACTAGTTACATTCGTCTTCATTTTGATTTTGATCATTTTAAGTTGGTTTTTATCCTTGAGTAGACCAAAAATATATTATTAAAGTAGCATACTATACTTCTTTTTGCTTTGTCACCCCTTCCCCAAAGAGAGAGTCGAATTAAAGGTATCATTTGTAGGAGCAAGTTTTCTAAAAAATAATTTAATTTAGTTGAACAAAAACTCGAGTGTAAAAGGTGTTTTTGAAAGGAAATTAACAATATCTTTGCAGCCTGCAACCCTACACGTCGCTGATTTCAACGCCGCAAGCCGACGGCCGCCGCGCTCCCTCTTTTATACCGCAGGTGAGTCAATGATTCACCTGGAGCCTGATGACGTCAGCGCGCAGCCTGCATCTCCGGAAAGAGGAAACCCGGGATCCATGATCACCCCGTTCGGCCTCATTCTGCCCGATGGGAGCTCAGCTCTAGGTGTTAGCTGGACAGTCTTTAAATGGTAGTAGTGTGCGCGTAAGGATAAACCGGTTTTAATCCACGTCCACCATGTCTGCCTCGGCTGTCTTCATTCTGGATTTGAAAGGAAAGGTGAGATAAAAGTCACTTATGGTAGCACGAAGCATAATTAATAACTTGGCGTGACGAATTGCCCTACAAAAGTTTTTAAGAGTATATACAGGCAACATAAAAGTTATTGACTTGTAGTAATACTTTTAGTAAAGCAGCAGATCTTGCATGTATGAATGTTTGAGCCCTAAAGCATGCAAAAAAACATTTGTTCTGTCGCTGTCATTCGTCTCTTCCGGTATTAATCGCATGGACGAGCAGTGACGAATGTGTAACCTAGTTTTCTTTGCTTTTTAGGCTTTAAATTAAATACTTCCATGATACACAAATTGTGTCAACATTTAAGATTTGCAATAAGAAATATTTTAACATTTTTGATATATCTATGTAAAATTTCTGTTGATTTTATCCATTCTTATTAAACTGCAGGGATGGAGTGACCATAGAGCCTAAAAAGGGCTTTACCATTTTAATTTCAGACAGTGACCAATGAAATTAGTGAAATTGACTTAAAATGTTGTTGCTGTTAACAAGAGCTAAAATGACACCAACATTTCTGATGCTCACTGTTCGATCTGATGGTTTAGATAGAGTGGTACTGAATATTCCAGATTATTCCTACAGTCCAAAAACACAGAAGGTTAGGAGAAGTTGTTGTTAGTATGTGGTTGTGCAGTTTATTGGGTATGTCCTATATTGGGATACATGTTGCCTTGTGTTCCTGGAATACTCATACTTCATACTCGCCATGACCCTGTACAACAGTGTGTCCCTGCTTCCTCAGGGACTGCCAGACAGTCCATGTTTTTGCTACTGGGAGCCGGGAGGGAGCAAAAACATGGACTGACTGAGAACCTCGTTGGGGAACACTGTTGTACAGAATAAGCAGTTTTGAAGATGGATGGATGGATAGTTTTTATATCTCTGGATTAGCCACAGTCTGAGCCTTCTCTTTCAAAATAGTACATAGATGACCTGTTTTACTGTAAAATGAAGTCCTTCCTTCAGAGTTTCTCAGCTTCTTTCTGAATAAAGCTTCCATTTCCATTTATTTAGAAAACTCCCATGCAGTGTAACCCCAAGTATATCGGGATAAACAGTGTTGAATACATATTGCTTGTGTTTTAGGTGCTGATATGTCGGAACTACAAGGGAGAGGTGGACATGGCAGAGATAGACCACTTCTTGCCCCTCCTCATGCAACAGGAAGAGGAGGGGCTACTCAGCCCTGTTATAGTGCATGGCACTGTTAACTTTCTATGGATCAAGCACAGCAACCTGTACTGTATCCTTCCCATGGTAGCGTTTGGTGATTCACCACATGCTTCTGGCAGATTACAAGCAATAAACTAATACTGGAATACTTAGTGTCTTTATTTATGGACAAAATATCAGATCCCCTACTAACCTTACTGTTTTCCCACAGTTGAAGAGTCAGCTTGATATGTGAAGAACTCAAAGTTCTTTGGACGGGCGTACAACAATTATTCCCCTCTAAGGAACAGACCCATAACTTGCCGGTCTTGTTCCTTAGCCCTTATGTTATTGCTTATCTTCCAGACTGCTGCTAGTTATGGACATACAATAATAGTTGTATTATATTCTCATGCCTTGAGTATGAGACCTTGACTTTACGACATAGTGGTGGTCATCACCAATAAGAACTCCAATGCAGCCTTAGTCTATACTTTCCTGTACAAACTAGTTGAGGTGAGTTGATATCACATTTTGTTTCTTTAAGCCGGTAGTGATAAAAGCCATAGGAGTCATTAAAACGTGTTAGATTCTAGGATTTAGAACAAATGATTTCCATAGAAAAGCAGTGTGCTTATTATCTTTTTGTGATGAAGCTTGAGCATTTTTCTGTTTAATGGAGGTGCCCTTAATGTATCTTGGAGTGCACTAGATATTCTGCAGTCCAGACCATGCTGCCGCGGGTTTTTATGGATGAATACTGCTGTTACTGATTAGACTTGGTCAGTCTTTTATAGATTTTATAGTAGTTCTCTGATTTGGTGTGTCAGCTTTTGAAATGTCTTGACAACTGCCAGATTAATAGTGAAACAGAAAAATATCCTGAAACTGTCTGAATCCATGAATCTGTCAGTGTTGTTCAACTTAAAGTGTATTTTCATATACAGATAACAGTGGAACATCATTTCCTGTAATTAAGTTTCTTGGACTCCGTGTCCCTTCAAGTTTGCACACTAAAATAGCACTTAACTGTAAAAAAAATAGAATAGAATAAAATAAAGTAGCAAAATAGTAAATAGTAAAATTAGGTTGTTGTGTGTTTGCTTGCATTAGGTTTTCACAGAGTACTTCAAAGAGCTGGAGGAAGAGAGCATTCAGGACAATTTTGTGGTCGTGTATGAGCTGCTGGATGAGCTCATGGACTTCGGATTTCCTCAGACGACAGATAGCAAGATCCTACAAGAGTAAGCCGCACAATTGTGCCTGATTGCATGCTTATATGACACACATACTTACAAACCCATGGAGAGAAATACCGTGCTGGAAATGGCAGCTGATCCCAGCACACAGGCTTAATCGCATGGTTTGCACATTCCTGTAAGATGATCCTTCAGGCTTGTGAAAAAGGGTCATTAAAAAGTCTCTGGTTTTTAGGTATATTACTCAGGAGGGCACCAAACTGGAGGTGGCCAAGACCAAGGTTCCCACCACTGTCACCAATGCCGTGTCCTGGAGATCTGAGGGAATCAAGTACAAAAAGAACGAGGTCTTCATTGATGTCATCGAGTCTATCAATGTGTTGGTGAGTGACTTATTCTGGCAGTATTTTGATACTGTGGTGTCATGGTGCTGTGAATTCAACCAATAAATAATAAATATTTGTATTATTTGTGCTTAAAAGAATTGTGTATACAGACAAGACAGTGATGAAACAATTTGTCCGTTCGTTTGAATGTACAGTTATGTCCTATGATACAATGACACATTTAAAATTGGAGTTATTTGATATGCAGATTTCACACTGACACCATGTGCACATGTGACTGATGATGTCTCTGCGCTCCAATCAGGTGAACGCCAACGGAAATGTAATGAGCAGCGACATCGTGGGCAGCATCAAGCTGAAGACGATGCTCTCGGGGATGCCCGAGCTGCGGCTGGGCCTCAATGACCGTGCTCTCTTTGCTCTCACTGGTCGTAAGCATCACCGTGCCAGTTCCTCTGCTGTCCTCTAGATCAGTGCTCTGCAACCGGTGCGTCACAAGGCAGTGCTAAGCGTGCCACAGCACGTTGTCTCCAAAAGGGGAAAAAGCACAAGGTTTACATATTCAGTACTGCATACGTGTGACATTAGCGTAAGTGTGTACATAATCACTTCACTGCCATGCACGTGAGGTGAGGTAGGCTGGGGCTTAGGATCAGTCCCACTTATGAGACATCATTCGGCCAGTGATCACAGCTATTATTGGTTGCATTACTGCAGAGACTATTAAATTGTTTTTTTTTTTTCTTACGGGAATGTTCCTTTGTGTTAAAAACTATCCTTGAGTTTCCGACAAGGCTATTGCTTCCATTTTCTACAATGTATCTTTTCAACTCTAGTCTTAATGTAAAATGATAAGCAGTCAGACTTGAAGGACCTTAAACAAGATCCTCGAGTTGCTCTGTCGAATATCGAGCCGAATATAAAACTATTATGTTTGTTAAAACAAGCGCAGGTATTAATTATAGTTCAAAGTAAATATTAGTTAATATAAGTTATAAGTTAATAAATGTTTTTAGCTGTGATGTAAAATTTATCAAATAAAAAAACAATAAATAAATGTAATTTCTATGAAGCACTTAGTCATTTCTTTGTAATAATCTATATTTTTTGTATATTTTGCTTGTGGCATGCTGTGGAATTCTGGGAAGGGCTTAGGTGTTCCGAGGGTGAGGAAAGGTTGCGGAACACTGCTCTAGATTCTTCACGTCTCCCTGACCCCTACTCCCTCCTGTATACTGTAGCTGTTTTCCAGTGGTTCATACCATGAATTCTCACTGCCTCCGGCTTCGTATCTGTTCAGGGGACAAAGGGAAATCGGTGGCAATGGAGGACGTGAAGTTCCACCAGTGTGTACGACTCTCCCGGTTCGATAGCGACCGCACCATCTCCTTCATCCCACCGGATGGGGAGTCTGAGCTGATGTCCTACCGCATCAACACTCAGGTGAGGCAACTCCTCCTGTTCTCTGAACGTGCAGCCCCTCCGCGCTTCCTTGTGACCGACAGACCCCTGTAACTTGGAGCCATCGAGCTGACCCACGGCTGTGCTGCACATTTCCTCCAGGTGAAGCCGCTGATCTGGATCGAGTCGGTTATCGAAAGGTTCTCTCACAGTCGGGTGGAGATCATGGTCAAGGTAGGGGAGTTCTGCGGTCATCTTGATTGATACATTCGCTGTAAAGTAAATGAATGCTTTTGTTGAATCGTTTTATGTATTGAGCTCTACTTGGGAAGAAGATAATTGTTTTTTTCTTCTTGCTGGAAGGCTAAAGGGCATTTCAAAAAACAATCAGTGGCTAATAATGTGGAAGTCAAAGTACCTGTTCCAAGCGATGCTGACTCACCCAAGTTTAAAACGACTACTGGCCATGCCAAATATGTCCCCGAGAAGAACCTGGTTGTGTGGACCATTAAGTCATTCCCAGTAAGTCCTCAGGGCAGAATATAAGTGGGGAGTTTTTTGTTTAGGATGATCTATTGTGTCTTTTATTGGTCACTGAATGTGTGTCAGATTTCATCTCCATCTGCTCTCTGAATTTTTCACTATAAATGTTTTCAACATTTTTCAACATTTGAGGAGTTTTACAGTTGAAATCTCAGTGCACGGACCTAAACCTAAACGCGGTTTGGATCTGCAGATGAGACAAATATCAGATGGTGAAACAAATGAACACATGCACCTGTCTGCTGCTTTCTAGGGGGGGAAGGAGTTTCTGATGAGAGCCCACTTTGGGCTCCCCAGTGTGGAAAATGATGAAGCGGAGGGCAGGCCACCAATCACTGTCAATTTTGAAATACCCTATTTCACTGTGTCTGGAATACAGGTATGTATAGTGTTACAGCTGGCTGGTTGGGAAGGTTATGCATAAAGGTCTTTTTTAAATGTTAGTAGCATACTGTTACTTGAGTATTAATTGTAAATGGTACCTATTTTTCAAACTATTTTCATTTTAATGGACAGGACAACATACTAATTGCCCCACCCCTGTCTCATAAATCTAAAATAAACACACTATTCAGTATGTCATTACTAACTTCTGCACTCTCAAAAAAAGGGTTAAAGTTTGTACCTTTGCTTGTCAATGGGGCTGTACCCATGTATTTGTACATTTTAAGGTACAGAAATGGACTCAGAGGAACATCCCAGAGGTACAAACAGCATTAATGTACCATCAGTTGTACAGAAATGTTCCTCAGGGTCTATTTCTGTACCTTAAAAGGTACAATTACCTACAGCTAAGGGTACAATTGACAGACGCCTGAGGGTACATCCCCAGTGACAAGCAGAGGTACAAATTTTTACTTTTCTGGGAATGTGCACCTAAAGCTTCAATACCTTTAATGGAAATACTGTCTTAAAAAGCCTGGTTAACAAGATATATTATTTGAGAGAAAAAAAATATATTTCAAGTTATGAAGCAGGGGGAATTAAACATGACTTATTCTCAGGTGCGGTACATGAAGATCATTGAGAAGAGCGGCTATCAGGCTCTGCCTTGGGTCAGATATATCACTCAGAGTGGAGGTATGGTGGAACTTTGCTTTGCATGTGTTTGCATAGATGTCAACAGAAAAATGCTCAGTGTCATGTAACCTAGGGGCAGACCCTGTGATATGAGTACAATGTATAAGAAAAGCAAATGCATGCGATTATGTAAAACCTTACTTTGGTAGACTTCTAATTCTCTTCATCTGCTTTCTTATTTCATTTAGATTATCAGTTGCGAACCTAGACCAGTGAACCACTCACTTGTCCATCTGATGTTTGAAAGACAATAGTAATCCTCTATCCTGAACACCATCTTACATGCTAAATGACCGAGAATTTCACAGAAGGGAAGAGTTGACATTTTGATTTTCTCTCCAAATATCTATATTTGAATTTAAAATATGTAAATAAAAATTAAATAAATATGAATCACCAAAGAGGTATTTTAATGATATTGTTTTCCTGATTTGGATTTTTTGTGTGGAGATATTAAATTATGTGGGTATTAATAAAAAATGTTTCAAAACCCTGAGAAATGCGCTTAAATCTCTTGGGTGTCCGTGTTTTTATTGATGTTGATTCAAATCTTTCGGAAATTCAGGTGCACGGTGAAAAAAACTGACTTTAGACTTAGTGCGGAAAACTATAAGCATTAAGTCTTAAGGCATGCTTCACGGATGTGGATTGCGTGGTTTCTCACTAACATTGGTTTCGGAAGTGCAAAATCTTAAATTATGTTAGGGTAGCTACTGGTTGGGAGCGCGGTAGAACCAACCATGACAGTCTCACACAAAACTGTATTCTGGTATTACGCCTCTGCATTAATGTGTATATTAAAGGAAGTTGTACCCAAGCATAAACCACAATTTCACATTTCTGGGAAGCAACTAATATCAGAGGAACTCCAAGAATGCAACCATTTTGTTAGCCTAATTCATACAATAAGATAAATATCTTTAGTCCGTTGTATTTTAGCCGTGTGGTATTGTGAAATTACACCGTGAGTGGTAATGTAAACTTGTCTTGTTACTATAAAATGTACTTATCTTTAGTAAACTTCACCGACCATGAATGAATTTCTCTGAATTTCTCGAGTACGTCCTCGAAGAGCCCGCCTTCAACTTCATGATTTTTATTGGCTAAAGATCGAGTTACCACGGTGATACTGTAGCAACGGGATATAACCTCACCCTTTTTACCATATATGGTGTCTTTGGTTACTCGCGACGGGCGATGATTGGGGGAGAGGTTACGACCGTGTTTTTAGAAAGACTACTGGATGAAATACTACTTTGGATGTCAGCGCGCAAATTAAAGTACTCGCCTTGGTTTTTAAAAACAAGATATTTTGTGGTGATTTGTTTGAAAATTTTATTTTGAGTGTAAAAAGAGTAGAACACAGAGGAAGGCAAGTAACAGGTGAACGCCCAGTGAAGCGGACACAGTACTAGGTAGGTCGCGAATGACGTTAGCCAGTTAGTTAGCTATAGCTAGTTGATTTCTCCGCTTGATTATTTAATACAGCTGACTATACGTAAAAAATAATAAACTGTTACTTCTAAGCAGATCTGATTTAAACAGATGTCTTTGCTTACAGTTACCAGCTACTTCGTTGTATTATTTTGAAGAAATGATAAAATACCGTATATTTGCTGCGAATTTGAATAAATCGAAAAATATATATTTTATAGAAAGGGTAGAAAAGTTCCCGACGATGGTTCTAAGTGAACAAAATGCCGGCAATGATCTGACTGCGGCCGCCGCGAGGGGACACCTGTCCGAAGTACGGAGATTGCTGGAGGAACATCGCATACATCCAGACACTGTCAATGAGTTTGACAAGACCGCCCTACAGGTAAAGACCAAGGCAAATCATTTACAACTGTGGAGGAAAACCACTTCCTTCTATAACTGATACAATACCGCCCTCAAGTTTTGTACCAACTACTTTGAGAGCGCGAGTGCATTTTTAAGTGAGGCAGTGCAGTTTAGGCTGTAATCTAAACCATTTCCATCCTGTGTTTGTATAGGCCTGCATATGCAGGCTGTAGTTGAAATGACTTGATTCTTTTCAGCTGAAAATCTCCATTCCTTTTCAGAAGTTCAGCTATTTTGTTACAGTGTTACGCTTTATCGGACAAAGCTGACGGTTTCTTCAGTTTCAGAAGTATCAGATTAACTTGCTCCAGTAGCAATGTGTTGCTACGAAACCGTAAAGCGGTCGTGATTAATATAGATTTAAAATTGCAATCGCAAATGTCAGACTCTTAAATGCTTCGTTAAAGTTTACCAAATTTGCACATTCTACAATGTTTCGACCAATTTCGCCTTTTCGTGACTCGCGGGTCGTTACAACGAAGCCCCTGTTTCCACAATGATTTGTCTGGGATGAATTTGAATCGAGGTGTGTTTAAAATCCCGCCCTGTAAATCAGCAAGGAGGACTTCCGCCAATAGTGTGGGCCCACTAAATTAAAAGTATTACATTAGATTAGATTAGATTAATTGAGCTAGTTACGAAATTTAACGAATACATAAAATGGCTGAGGTGCCCCTAAAGAGAGGTTTGGGAACCGAAACAGAGTTTTAGTCATCCAACAAGATATCAATAACTTTTTGGAGAACAGACGAGATTTTTGTTCATTTTTATTGTTACCGTTAATTTGCATATGTTGTGATGTTAAATTGCTTTTTTTCTGAGCAAATATACATGTACTACCAAGATAAATAGCCATAAACATTTTCTTTGACTGCCTAAGACATCTGCACAGTAAAATACATAAACGCATCGGTTTAATCAAGCCAAATATAGCATCACTCCAAATGGAACGTTATCCTTCTCTTCTAGGTAATGATGATGGGCAACACGAGTATCGCCTGCCTTCTGCTTGAACACGGAGCAAATGCCAATGTCCAGGACCGCCATGGGGTGACACCGGCTCACGACGCGGCCCGAAGCGGCTTCGTGGACACGCTCCGCGTGCTGGTGGAGTTCGGTGCGTCTGTCAACGTGGCCGACTCTTCCGGGGCACTGCCCATTCACGTGGCCGTGCGCGAGGGCCACGACGACGTGGTGGAATTCCTGGCCCCGCGGTCTAACCTGAGCCACTGCGACACGACGGGGCACCGCGCGCTAGACTTGGCGCGGGCCACGTGCTCCACCGGTGTGGTGAAGTTGCTGGAGCGTCATATGGAGTCTGCCCTGGCTGTTCGGTCTAGCCATAGCCAATAGCCTTCTTATTGAGATTTTTAATACAGCCGAATCCCTAGATAAAATACTAATGCATTTATCATATACATGGGTTTTGTTGACATTTTCACATTTGTAGTTAGACATGTGCCGAATATGAGTGTAGAAGAAAACATTTTTGCACAAATCACACCACCGCTAATGCTGAATGTAATATCGTTATGAAATATGAGACATCTTGTCTCGGCAATTCAGTTTGCAGTACGCATTTGTAAATGAAACGCCTATTTATCAGCTTACCAAATGAAAAAGATTAATGTATTGAACTTCTATCCCATTTCACACTAATGTATGTTGTCATTAACATTGTTTTATTAGCTCAGGTCTGATACTTTCTGCAACGATTTTAAATGTGTAGTGTATTCTAAAGCCATATACTGGAATTCGTTCAAGTTTTGCACTGAACATATTTTCCCACTTGTTTATCGATTGTACATAATCTTTACAGAATTTACGTCTATTTATTGTAAGGTTTGCGAATCATTGTATATAACGTTTAATGTAGATAATTTTAAAAGTTATAGAATATCATTTCAAAATGTAAAGAATCCCAGTGTATACACCTTTTTAAATATTCTTAAGATTGGATAAAATATTTGATCAAAATATACTATGATTGATTATCCTTGCTATCCTGCAGTGTCCTGTTCTGTGTATTTAAATTATTTAGATAAATAGTTTGTATTATAGTTAATTAATATTATTATTTCTTTAATTGGTTTCAGTAACAGGTCCTTACAACATTGCCGGTTGTCAAGATCGTTTCTTGGGTTCCCTAGTTAGCGGTAATTTGAAATCAGTCAGCATACCGCCAAAATGATGTTTATATTTGTCGCCAAATCCTGACGTTTCTGTGCAGTTGTTTCGAGTTTCCGCCAAAAAGGTGATATGAGCGGGTTGGACAAGATAAAATGCAATATAGGTTCTCGTTATACGTTTTTTTTTTTCATGAATTGCGAATATGAAAATTTGTATATATTTCTTTAAATATTTCGGTGTCCCTCCCTTCCTCCATATAGGAATTTTTTTTAAAAAGTTTAACTTGTGGTCTATTGTGCAATCTATTGTACTAGTACACTAGGGCGTAGGGCGCAGGTTTGCTTTCTTCCTGTTCCTCAGTTGCAAAACTATTTGAAGGCGGAAAAAGGGGAATCTAGCGAGCACGACGAATGACAATACCAAATGCTAACGTAGGATTTGCATATATGCGCTACTTGTACTAGTACGTCATGCATAGCTGTCATCTGAAGAAAATATAAAAGAAATATATTTCTGTACGCGACGGAAAAAAAGATAATTTGCCTTAATTTCGTTCCGTAGAGGTGGCTTTTCCTCTTCCTTTCTAGGGTTCTGGATGTTTACTCGGCAATGTGGTAAACCCTGATGACGCAAACGAAGACCTACAACCGCAGTCAAAAAACACAAACACAGTGGAGTTATATAAAACGGACATTAATGTCGTCAGTGTATATTCAGCGCTTTAATGAAGTCAAACTTTGGCAGCAAAAAAAAAATCAATAATCGACTTTCCAAAACCAATTCTTAACGCTCAACCCACTGGTGTAATTTTCCTTTTTGACCACAAGAGGACACTCACATCGCGTGGTTGCGATATTCAGTCGTTAGGAATAACAAAAGGAAGAAACGAGCACAAATCACTGTTTTCTCTACAGTCGTTCTTTCTGGGGTGACAATAGGGCAAGGTATGATGTGGGATCCGTGCCACACCAGCCACGAGCTCTCCTCACTCCTGGACTCTGATAGGATATTTTGTAGGACCCAAACACTGACTACCTGCAGATAGAACAGTTTCTTGCCCCAAGCCATTCGCGTCATCATCTTTTAAAATGAGCCATTTTACTATCACTTGCACCTGGACTTTATGTGAATACTAAAGTCTGAAGTGTTGTTTAGTTGTACAATTGCGTCTATATAAACGTCTATTTATTTGTATTTTTGCTGTTGTACTGTTGTGTTGCTGAACGAGTAAAGATTCCAATGCACTTGGCAAATGAATATTCTGCATCTAGTAAGATTATTTTCTTATTTCCTATGCATTTCCTTATTGTTGGCGAGGCCATGAGTTAGAGGATTTTAGAAGGATTTTTCGGTATACATTAGTTAGTTGGCTGATTTAAAGGAATTGCTGTGCCCTGAAATTCTTTTAAATGCCATTAATTTGGTTGGAATTTTATCTAATTTATGGCTATTGTTTTTAGAAACTGACGTTTCATAGTTTCATAGTTCTCAGTTAAAGTGAGCAGGCACGTCTTTGCATGTACTGTGCGCCGTCATTCAGAATAATCTGTCGCTGGTCTGTACAGAAGATCTATTGTACGGCTGGATGCTGAAGTGAGCTGTAGCAGACAATCAATGGTGGACTTTGTTTAAGTGCAACGCAACAGTTTATGCAGTACCACGCACAATGACTGTTTTATTTTGCTTCGGATTTTTTCTCACCTGTCACGTCCCGCATCAGTGCATGAGGCTGCCAGGGAAATGGGTCATTTAAATGCAGAATGGACTTCGCAATCCAGGAAGGAGGAGGTCGTGTTGCAACAAGGATTTTTAACCTACGACATTAACACTGTAGTGCATCTTAGATTGGTCGGCTAATAGTTTTACAGCGTTGACGCAAAGGGGGGTGGCACAAATATCCAGACAATTCGGAAGAGTCACACCACAGAATCTTCTTTCTTCACTTACCTTTTTAAACTGTCTGTTCTAGTTCAGCTTTCACCCCTGTCATGACAGAGTATTCATCTCTAACGCTAGTTTCTGACTGAATTCTCATATTTTATCACCTTGGCGGTTTTTACAGATCTGATTGCAAGGGTAAAATGACTTTGCTTTCGTTAATACGTAATTTATTTATTAATTTTTTTTATTTACGAGCGAATTATTTATCACAGTAACTAACCATTTAATAATAAACAATTAGGGAGGAATTTCGTTAATATTTTGCTGAGTACCAAAAAAAATTATACTCTGGAAACATTTCAGTAACACTATTTACGGGGGGACAAATACGCACAAGGGCATAGGTTTGGTTTCAGCATTTTTAGGGTCCAACTCCCGATCCCCTTATTCCTATAAGCACACACGATTGTCATGGACCCGGACGGCTCGGACACGAGAACGTGGCATAGTGCACACTGAAAAAGGGCGGTTGACCCACTGGCGGCCCCAAGAAAAAAAGGGGTTTATTAAATAAAACAGAAAACTTTACAAACACAATGAAACCAAAAGGACCACGAGGGTCAAAAACTAAAAGGGGATTAACAGACTAAATAACAAAACCTAAATACACATCTAATACTGGGACTCTCTGACATAACAGCCATCAAACACAATCAATACAAACCAACAACAACAATGAACCACTGAGGAACTAAACAGAAGCAGGAACTAAAATACTAAGGGGTAACGAGACTAACACAGGACAGGTGAGACTAATTAACAAAGACCAGGGAAACAGGGCACAGGTGAAACTAATAACTAACCAAGGACACAGGGAAACAGAAACCAACACTAGGGAATTAAATAGGTAAAGACACAAGCAGGGGCACAAGGAACAAAACCAAAACTAACTACAAAATCAGACACAAGAACTAAAGAAACTCAAACGAAACACTAGGGAGCAAAATACAAAAACAGAGAAGACAGGATTCAAACACAAGACAAAAGGATACACAGACAACCACATGCTCAACACATTGAGCCACATGACCAGACAGGTAACAGAGGAGAACAAAGACTAACATGAAGGACGGCATGACCAGCGACACCTGCTGGTCAAACAGGGAAGGGACACAGAGTGAGACAACAGCAGGGGCTGACCCTGACACACGATACTCCCATCAGTACTGGTAGGGACATGGCTGTTACCGTCCATACCCAAATATATGCCCTTAGTTACTAAAGTACATGCAAATCATGAACTAATATACTTCCTGCATGAATCATTAATGTTGAAAGAACATGTGATCGGTATGTAAGTAACACTTACAGTTACTGCTTATTGCATTGAGTATACTACTACATTAGTAATGTAGTAACCCCGCCAAGTAAAGTGTTAACCACAATTCTTTCCTGAAAAAGCACACGTGTTGAATGTTTTATTAACTTTTAACTGTTAATAGATGTGACATGTAGATAAATGTAGTCAGTTTGAACCATGAACAGAATGTGCAAAGTATTTGGTTGCAGTTTTATGTAAAACCTAAACCCACAAGATGGCGCTCATTTCTCTGGGAGTGTATAGGCGTTGTAAATGACTCGCTAGGACATTGCCGACATTGAGATATGGGGTTACCTAAACCATTGTTGTGCTTACAAAAGCTCAGCCTCAGAGAGGAATACAAAAATGTCTTAGAATTTTGCCTGAGGTTTTATTTTTGCCAAAATAAAAATTTGCAGTTGTGAATGACCTCAGACCACTTGAATGACTGCAAACCTGTAATTTTCTCTGCTTTTTAGAAGCATTTCTCTTTGTGGAAAGGGGTATTGATGTGGCATTGATGTGGTATTGTGGAAGTACCCACCATTTATTACAGCCTTTACAAATAGTCCACTTTCAGTTGGGCCCTGGTTGGTCACAAGCAGAGACAAAATTCTTCTGGGAATGACCTCTGTGGTTGCCAGAACAGGTAACATCATGGAATGGAGGATACATTCTGCAGCTTAAACCATATTCATGTAAATTCATGACTTGCAGGTGATAGATAAGTGGGGAGAGCAGAACTGAGCGACCTCAGTGGGTTTCTACTTATACAATCACAATGAAGAAAGCATTCCAGACAAACAGCACATTAATGTCTTCCCCCATCATCTCTATAAGGCTACTTACCCAGTTAATTAAAGTGGAATGAGTACTTCATACTTAAATTTGTGTTTTTACTGATATGGCATATCTTCTACTGACACACTATTTTAAAAAAAGCTTTAAATTGGACTTGCGGATTTACAGAAAGGATGAATATAATAAATTTTTTTACAAGCTCCCTGTAAATATACTAACTGTTGGCATCAGTATATACATATAGCTGCTGGTAGTTTATTGTACTGGACTTTATGCATTTCTGTATGCAAGTCAGTAATTGCCATTAAGATTAACCAACTGGACATTTTTTTGCAAACCCTTCATTTCCAAGCAGTATCTCCTCAATATATACATTAGTTTTTATAGTGTAGCTGGATAAATACTGTTGGGAAATAAACACTATGAAACACTATGGATTATTCTAACACACTAAACGTTAAATTATATTCCTTCAGCAATTACCATGATGACTAAAGCAAATTGCATTTCCAAAGCCAACGGCTGTATCGATGGGAAATATCATACACAACCATGAGCTCTTCAGGTTACCTTTGGCTACGTAACTTATAATTTACATTAAAAAACACTATAGTAAATAAGGTTTGTAGCTTAATGAGTCATTCAGATTCGGAGCCACTACAATATAGAAAAATGTCTATAGTGTAGAAAAAATATACGAAAAGATCTGATGTCTGGATCATTCCTTAAGGTTAAAACTAAAAACAAAGATCTATGAGGGAGGTAGAGAGGGGAGGGGGTTGTATGGTGCAGGCTTGTGCTCTGGGTAGCTTTTAATGAATGCCGGCACACGCACGCCGAACACAATCAGAATTCTAACTGGAATTCCCCCATCATGCTGCCCACTTCTGGAATTCTCCTCCGGGCAGCGACTGCTAACCTTGGGCAGAGGTCATTTCCACAAGAATTTAGGCTAGTGTTTGGTGTTTTTCAGGGGGAGGAATGTCGTGGGACGGAATGTCTCAGCCCCCGCAGAGGATCCTGCAGCAGAGAAGCCAGTCAGAACACGGCTCCACATGTTCGCTCAGCCGCTGTCACATTAGGATTCGCTGCTCTCTGCCCGGAGGAGACAAACTTGTTACAAAGTCCATGTGAGTGGTAACGTTTTATCTTACAGTATATGCTCTCACAAAGACCGGCAAAACCTGAAAAGCAATGCCTGAAAAACAGAATGTGGAGACATTTTTAACAGCTAATAGTGTCAATGGTTTCCACATCACTTTTTTTCTGTTTTGAGTTTGGATGGTAAGAGGGTGCTTGCTAATTCAAGTCAAGTTAAGCACTATTTGCAGATCTATCCAAGCCATCGATATACATTCAAGATCATTAACCTTTAAAGTTTTGAGCTCGACACAATCTAGTTAAACTGGTACAATTACGGTTCATTGACTATATAAAAAATATCCACAAGTTGCAATGGTCTGAACACATGCCAAAATGCTTAGTAATTTATCCTGTCATGGTCATTGCAGTAGAGAGGTTTGGAACCTCCATGGTCAAGCAAGAATTCAGTTCTCCAGTCCTTTATGGCAAAAACTCAATCTTCAACCAAAAAAACCAGTTTCCCTGAAGTGTTTTGGATATTGCCTTGCGTTTGACAGAAAACCGCCAAACTCACAACAAATCCAATTCAGGTGAAAAGGGCACAGCAGCATAGTTTATTTAAATACACCTCACATGCAGGCCTCACTGACAAAATACGCCCTTGTCAGACAACAAATACTCAACGTGCCAGTTTTTCAGTACAGCAGGTTGTTGGCATATTGTGTCTCTACACATGTAAAAAAAAAAAAAAGAGAAAAATATCATTGAAAGAGGTTCCCAAACTGCTGCCTACACAAATATTAAGAGGTAAGTTTATAGAACCTGATAAATATACATACAATTGCAGGGCCAACAGACAAAATGTCTTCCTGCTTTTTCGATATAAAATCTTTTTGGACGTTTTTGTTTTAAGTGTCACTCATCCGATTCCTGATGTCAGAGGGCAACAGGTCGAGGAGTCTGTCCTCTACCACCAAGCCACTGAGCTTCAGCAGAGAGCAGGCCCCTACTTCGCGGGGCAGGAACTGAAGCCGATTCCCTTGGAGTTCCAGGTGCACCAGCTGGCTCAGGCTGGACACAAGAGGAGAAAGGGAGGCCAGGCTATTGTCTGCCAGGACGAGGCTTTTCAGGTGCTTGCAAGAGAAGAGCTCATCTGGAAGTGAGCCCAGTGAGTTGGAGGCAAGGGAGAGGTGTTGGAGGCACTGCAGAATGCCTACCTCTGGGGGAAGGGAAGACAACTGGTTATGGGAGAGGTTCAGATGGCGCAGTGTGGTGCAGTAGAAAAGCCCTGTTGGGAGGCTGCGAATCCTGTTCCAGCTGAGATTGAGTGACTCAAGGGAGACAAGCTTATCGATGTGCTCAGGGATGTACAGGATGGCATTGTGCCACAGCCGGAGGGTGACCAGGTTCCGGCAGTGCTGCAGGCTGAGGATCTCTTCAATCGTCATCAACTTATTCTCCCGCAGGTCCAGCTGCTGTAGATTAGTCAGGCCAAGGACGGTTCTGGGGATGCGTTCCAGGTCACAGCCCACCAGCTCTAGGGAGGTCAGGTCAGTCAGTTTTGTGAGGCTGTGGAAAGCACGCAATGGACTGCCCTCATTGTGAATGGTGAGTTTCTGTAGCCACCAAATATTGCCCACACTCAATGGGATTTTGGAGAGCTGGCTGCGGAGGGCCAGAATCCGCAGGTTTCTGAGCTTACTCAAGTCTTCGAGGGAGGTGCTTTGGGTCAGGGGTCCTGCGAGGTGCAGTTCCTCCAGGTCTAGAAGTGTATATACCCAAGGAGGGATCTGTTCTGGGCTTTTGAAAGTGAGCCGCAGTACTTTGAGGTGCTCTCGAAGGTGGTTCTGCGCCGTCGGCTGCAACTTGACTGGGCAATGAAGCAGACTGAGCTCCTGGAGGAACATGAGCTGGAAGATACTGTCTGGGATGGTGATGTCATTCATCAGCTCCAGTTTGAGGGACTCCACGTCTGGGACCTCAAAGACAGTATCCGGCAGTCCTGGGAGAGCCAGCAAGTGCAGCTCCAGCCTTTTGCTGGCATTTACAGAGAGGCACCTCCGAAGTTTGCCCACAGTCCACTCGTGATTAAGGTTGACTTGCCGCAGCCGACTCTCGCTGACTTGAGAGAGGAACATGCAGAACCGCTTGGAGTACAAGGGGTCGTACTGGTCACAGAGGTGCAGCAGAAAGGCAAAGTCATTTTTGACATCAGGAATATCACTGATGCTAGTCTCCATACGTACATTTTCAAAGGAATATTCTTTGAGTGGCCGATGGAAGAGCCAGTAAAGGGTATAGATGCACAACAGGCCGTACACCCCAACAAAGCAGATATAGCAATAGGCCAGCTTGGAAAAAAGGTGGGCTTTGACATAGTTGCAGCAGTAGATGTTAAAACCAGTCACCTCTTTGGGAACTGAGCATTTTACCACAATCTGAATACTGGGTACCAGGAAGGCACTGTATACAGTGATGACGACAAACTTTAACATTTTAATGAAGGTCTGAAGCACGTACATCCGGTACAACAAGTCAGCTTCCTCTATATGTGCACGGAGCTTCTTCACTATTTCAAACAGAGCTTTAGCTTGCTCCCCTTCTTTCTTGTCCAAGAGAGATAAAGGTGACTTTTGTTGAGGAGCCATTTTCTCTTGGTTGGATTTAAGAGAGGCCGGTTTAAGCAGGTGAACATTCTCACCATCATCAATCAGGCTCTCTTTTCTATCAGATTCTGACATTATATTCCTCTTCCACATGACTAAGCTCTCCTCGCCCCCCTCCTCATACACCTCACTGATTGTCCGCGTAGTCCAGGGGGAATTGAAGCACTTTCCCAGGATGGTGACAAATAGCTCAATCTTGGAAGAGGTCCCGGGAAACTTGAACCAGAAGCTACTGGCAATCATAAACAGCATAGTCTGGACTACCACCAGGTAGGGAAAATATTTACCATACCAGTGCACAGCTGTCTCGTAGCAGTAATTGTTAACAAAGATATACTGGTGAATGTCCAGGTGATTTTTTCGGCCAAACATTTCACGTGATGTAAAGTTATGACCCTTGGCGTCAGTGTCCTTCCAAACGCCGTTCACTTCAGAACGTTCTGCCGGCTGCCTACATTCAACTTCTTCAGGGGATTCAGAAGACGGGCGGCTCGGGAGGCAGAAGATCTTGTCCTGGGTTAGCTATGTTGAGGAGACAAGAGGTCCACCAGATTTAGAATATTAGTTATCATTTCGGTGCACTCTAAAGGCTGCAGACTAGCACGTTTAAGGATAACCATGTGATTTCATCTTGTCCAGGCTTATGTATAATTAAAATGGGAGTATTCCAGCTTTGAGGTAGTAATCTATACTGCAACCAGGAAAAAGCCACTGACACACAAAACAAATATCACAGGTATAATGTGTGACTCAAACTCCAAATAAAAGCATGACTAATACGACCACCACCCCCCACCCCTCAAACACACACACACACACACACACACACACACTCTCTCTTACTTTCCGGGTATGGTTTAGTTCCGCACAACGCATACCTGAACGGTGCAACCAAAAACACCCATCATGAGCATGGCGACGCACAGATATTCTGTGAGCACATCCCACCAAGGCTTCAGAGCACGGAACTGGGGGTTATGGTCTGTGGCCAGCTTCTGAAAGTCCGTTACTGGGATCATCCTGGACACTGGAACAGTGGGCAAGAAAGCTGGGAGCAGAATAAGACGCCACAGAGTATTTACAAAACCAACAGAAATGAAAACTATAAATCAAACCTGTCTAAAAATTCTAAGAAGGCTTTGCAATCAACAGAACTCAGTTTATGTCAAGACTCGATCATTTACAGCATGCTATCTGTGAAACATACATAGAAATAAGGGTGAGTTGTGAGAGAGCTGGATCTGAGAGAAAAACAAAATACTGCTGAGTAGGAGGTAATCACTTCCTTTTTGTGTCAGCGCTGAGAAAGAGTTGGAAAGTAGAGGAATGGAAAAAGCCCTTGAGTGAGTAAGCGTGCTTGGTCACCCTAAAAATTACGAAAGGGGACAGATACCCTCATTTAGATGAAATATGTAGTTACGTTCCGTGGCCTGAACTGGACACGAATTACCTAGAGCCTAAAAAATAAAATTACGTTTATTTGTTTATATGGCAATATTATAGCACGACTGTTGCAAATGTAACTTCAGTTGGATAAAACATTACATATCTCATATCATCAAGTATTCCATTTCCCTATAGCCCGTATGTAAACCCCAATCGAATACGTCTCCCTCATCTGTTGATTACATGTAGGAATTTCGCTGTACTTAGAACAAAACCAATTAAAACGATCACACTGAACCAGATACACGAGTACCACTGAACATTTCGCGGAAAATAAGCTTTGTCCGAAACAGTAAATGCACATTTCACATTTTATTCATATTGTTAGAACCGGGTAAACTGAATGAATAAATACGGAAATTCATATGAAGGTTCTGGAACCACTGTAACTTAAGATCGTGCACCCTTGCTGGCCCGATGGCTTTGTATTTATGATAGGAGGCATTAAAGGCGTGAAACTGAAAATGAAAACAAGACGACGTTCAAGGCTTACAGTAACAAACTTCTCAAGAACTAAAAGTAAAGGGAACAACACCTCAAAACGTTCACCTTGGACGCAGTGTTTTACGCGACACTTTCCCCCCCCTGTGGCGCCTAATAAAACAGTAACCGGCACGAAGTCAAGCTATTTATGACCCTAATCCAGCTGGATAACTTAGTCAGATCGGACTGGGCAGTAAGTAGGTGAACCCAGACGGTCCATTCATCTCCAGCCAAGGATCATGGTATAAACTAACTAATTAGCTTATAGCCTAACAGCCTTCCTTAGTATGGATATCTCCTATAGATATAGCCTATCTTTCTTTCATTATAAACTTCTCAACGCGACTGTATGGTAAACTGAAAGTAATGGTTACTTGTAAAGTTAATATGGCCTATTTTGAACTTAATAAAGAACGTTAAAATGTTCAAGTTTACCTGCAATGGTGCGACCACAGTACCGGCCCAGATTCCTCCTAAACGTAACCGGAGACGCGATTCATTACAATGGCAGAGTAACAGGGTGAAGCCTTGCTGATCGTGGGCTGCGTGATCCTCCTTCCCCGATTTACAATCCAACTTTACAGTTTATAGGTTTTGTTGCGGCCGCACTTGCGGAGACACTTACCGCCGCGACACACCCTCACCCCCCGAGCGCGTGCAGCTGCGCAGAAGGCTGCAAACGCGGGGAATGACTGCGTGCACGAGGAGCTGTTAACTTGGTGAAGCTCGCGCTTGGTTTCGGATAACACCAGCGTCAAATGTGATTATTTATCCGTCGTTATCCGGTGTTCTGTAGTCTTCTGTCCTAGCCGTCAACGGACACGTGAAAATCACCCGGGAAGCTGGCGACCAGCTGTTTCTATACAACCTTAACGTAACTTACCCTGAGATGTACCTGCATGTAGGGAAGTGCCGGGGATCGCGCAACACTCACCTGTATCTAGTTACAATGTCACTTTTGGTTACGTTACGGTATTTTGCTAGCAAATTCATCAGGGTTGCGTTATATTTCCGGATTGTAACGGTAACAGGTTTCAACATCGAATCTGAAAAACTTCAATGTTCGGGAAAAAAAATGCTTTTGCAAGTTTACCAAAATGAGTTACTAAAATTAAAAAAATAGTAAATGCATAATAATTACTCGTGTTTGCATATTGGACAAAATCGGCCTAATTGTCTGATTATCAATATTAAAGGTTTATAAAATAGTGTGTGTGTATATATATATGTGTATATACACTCACCTAAAGGATTATTAGGAACACCATACTAATACGGTGTTTGACCCACTTTCGCCTTCAGAACTGCCTTAATTCTACGTGGCATTGATTCAACAAGGTGCTGAAAGCATTCTTTAGAAATGTTGGCCCATATTGATAGGATAGCATCTTGCAGTTGATGGAGATTTGTGGGATGCACATCCAGGGCACGAAGCTCCCGTTCCACCACATCCCAAAGATGCTCTATTGGGTTGAGATCTGGTGACTGTGGGGGCCATTTTAGTACAGTGAACTCATTGTC